CGCGAAGTCGCCGCGTCGGCCGGCCCCGGCTCCTCCTCCCTGCGTCTCTCCTCCCACCTTTCCCGGCTCCCCGGCGGATGTGAGCCACCAATCCCAGCAACAAACAACCCTTCAAATGCAATCACGCAGCGGCCTTGTAACGGGCGGCGGGCGGGGGCGCCGGCCCCTCCTCGCGCCACATCTGTCCTGCAGTCGGGCGCAGCAGCTGATTCATCTGCAGCCAGGCCCGCGGAAGGAACTGCGCTCCAGGCAGTTGAGGGCAGCCTCCAGCCGGGCGGTTTCTCCCCTGGACCACGTTTCCCCCTTGTGCTGTTAGATGTGTGTTCTCTTACGTGCCGAGCAGTCGGCCCACCACGCAAGAAAAAAGTTGTAAGGTTGCTGCCTTCTGGGAGTGTCGCCTTTTTCCTTGTTGATTCATTTTAAGTCCTGTAATTGGAAAAAAAAAAAAAAAAAAACCACCCAAGCTTTTTAAACGCTGGCCGTAATGCACTCATGGGGCGGCGGGAGTGCCCTTTTTGGGGGGAGCGTGGGAAGGGGAGCTTGGCTTTCACTTGAAGTGTAATCCTGAAACGCAGCCTCCAAGTCTAGTCTTCGTAGGCTGCCTTAGTCCTCCTCGGGCTTAACCTTATTTCCACGAAACTTCTCCTGCCGGGATCTCCATCGAGGTTACAAAACAAAAAAGCACAGAGCCGAAACTGCGGGCAGACCCGGGCGCTGACGTCTCCACCGGGCTTATTTACGCTTTGGGTTTTTCTTTCTTTTTTAAGTGACGGGTAACGTCTTAGCTGTGGCATATAACAGTTCATTTACTGCAAAACGACGGGACATACCCACGCGAAACTTAAACCCACGTGAGGAGACGCTCGTTTCTTGAGATCAGCCAAACAGTATCTGGTCTTTTAAAGGGAAATTTCATCCAGGAGCTCGCGTTGAAGCCCTCCGAATTCAACTAAAATAAGCCAACAGGAGCGCGCGTTGACTTAAGGGCTAGTTTCGGTTTGAAATATGGGAGGGGAGGTGGGGTTCCATAGTAGGGTTTAAGTCCCCAAAGCAGACACTAACAGGAGCAGCGGCGGCATGGTCGCTCCTTTCCTGTATGGGGGGGGTCAGGAGGAGTCACTGTGGGACGGGCGCGCACCCTGACCGTCCCCCATGCTGAGACGTTTAAAGAGCATGTGAGCATGACAAGTGTCTGTCCGCAACGTGTCAGATTTCGAAACTGCCTTGCAATCTAGTCCGGAACTCGCAGCTTTAGCCCGGGGGAACAGACATTCGCCCAGGGTGTCTATGTCTCATCCCCCCCCACCCCTCACTGTCGCTGGAGGAAGAGCCCCGGGAGGAGGGTGCGCCGTGCCGCGCCCGCGTGTCAATGGCAGCCGCGCATTCTGGAAGGAGTTGGTTCTTGTCCGAATACTTTTCCTCCGTGCCCCGCCCCTTGAATCTGAAGCGGCTGTCTTCTGCGACTGAGGCAGGGACCTTGGAGTTTGGGACAGCTGTCAAAACGAGAAGGAGAGCCTTTACTTCCCTGGGGTGGAGGAAGGATAGGAAGGGGCGTCTTTTTTTCCCCCATCTGTTGCAATTTCCTAATCAAACGCACCCTAGCCAACCCGGGAAGAAAGGCCCAAACGAGAAGCCGGGGGTGCAAGGCTGGTGTCTCCGCCGCCAGGCGAAAAATGCGGGCGCTGTGCGTGCGGCAGGCAGGAACGATTCCGTTTCTGGGTTCCACCCCCATCCCCCCCCACGAGGGACGGGTGACAACGGCCTGGGAGGCAAGGAGTGAGACAGCGCGGCCGCGGAGCTCGGTCCTGTCCACCCGGGCTGGAAGGTGCGGGGGAGGGGCGGGTACCTTCCCTCCTCGCCTCTCTCACTCTGACAGCGCCGAGGTGCGCCGAGCAGGAGCGGGGAACAAAGGAGCGGAGTGGGGAGGGGAGCGCGTTGGGCGAGGGAGAGCCCCCGGGCGGCTGCCAGAAGCTCCCGGCAGGAGGAAGCCCAAGTGTCACTTGAATTCCACCCAAGGAGCGGGCGACTGGGATCCGAGCGCCTTGTTTAGCAATAACGGCTGGAACACGTCCTACAAGTTACGGGAGAGTCTCTGTGAAGAGGACGAGCGCTTCTTCCCTGTGGCCCAGCTCCTGGCTCCTCCGGACCCCAGCAGTGCGGCGCTGGGAGGCGAGCTCCAGGATGAAAAGCAAGAAAGGTAAGGCGGTCGGCAGGCCCGCGCGCCGGGGGCGCGGGTAACGTGCGGGCCGGCGGCGCTGGCCTCTGGGCGAGAGTGACTTGGGGGACTTTTCCGCCCTGGGGCTCAAGCTGGAGCGGCCGCCCTTCCCGTTTGGAGGCTGCGTCTGAAAGGGCAGTTGCTGTTTTCCTTCTAGACACAACACGCGGAGCTGCAGCGTGGAGACCAGCCTCTCCACGCTGCTGGCACGTTGTCAAGAAACACGCTCAGCGCCGTGTTAGTGCGCCTCCAAGTTTCATTGTCTCAGCCCACACCCCACGCTCAGCCTGGCCGCCGCGTGGCTTCTGCTGGCGCTTTCTCGCGGCCAGAGGGGTTGGAGTCGGTATCAGGAAAGACCCCGGCCTCTCATTTCCCGGTCGGAACTCCCAGCGGCAGGGACCACGGAGTCACCAAGTCTTTGTCTGAAAGTTGGAATCGGGGCCCCCAACCCGACCCTGGCCCCCAGCACTGTTCCTTAGGGATGTGGTATTTTCACGATCGAGGGAGTGTGGTTCTGGACCCCCACATCTCCCGGGTGTAAACAGCTTTGGCGAGCTAGACTTTTTTTTTTTTTATAGTCTCAGTCTCCAAGTTTTCCCACGAAGAATGTAGGGAAGATGAAGAGTCAGTACACCCGGCCAGCAGCTTAAAGCGGCACGCAGTCACAATGTGACAAGCAGGCTTGGTTGTAAGTGCAAAGAGCGAGGCTGTAGTCACCAAGTCTTTGTCTGAAAGTTGGAATCGGGGCCCCCAACCCGACCCTGGCCCCAGTACTGTTCCTTAGGGATGTGGTATTTTCACGATCGAGGGAGTGTGGTTCTGGACCCCCACATCTCCCGGGTGTAAACAGCTTTGGCGAGCTAGACTTTTTTTTTTTTTATAGTCTCAGTCTCCAAGTTTTCCCACGAAGAATGTAGGGAAGATGAAGAGTCAGTACACCCGGCCAGCAGCTTAAAGCGGCACGCAGTCACAATGTGACAAGCAGGCTTGGTTGTAAGTGCAAAGAGCGAGGCTGTCATTGTTTCCACTAAGCGTTCGGGAAGCTTTACAACTAAAACTTGCCGTCAGTCTGGTTTAAAAAACAAAATACACAGGGAAAAAAAATAACCGAAAGGTCAAAGAATGTGAAGTCCCTTTTGAAGTTAACTTGGAGCCCCGACTGGGAGGTCCCCCGAGTGTTCCGTCGTGGGCTGGAGTTGGCTTTTCTGTTGTGATTTATGTGGAGTGCTTCAAAACAGAAGTTGATCGCTCGGGGAGCGGGGGCGGGGGCGCTGCTGCGCATGCCCGGGAGCCTCCGAGTTTGTAACGCACATTCTTGCAGACCCGGCCGAGGTGCGGCTCCGGCGGCTGGGGGCTGTGCTGGGGCAGCGCTCGCCCCTCACCGGTCCTTTGGACCGTTTGCACCTCAGGTCTCTGTGACCCCGTGGAGACTGAAGCAGGCGGAACTTCTGTCTCCCCAGACTTTCCCAGCGGCAGTGACGCTAAACGTGAAAGCTCGGGTCACCTAGTAGTCGTAGACCTCTCTGCAGATCCCTCCCCAGGGACCGAGTGGGAACACGGGCGCTCAGGTTTGGGGCATTTAACTTGGTTCTGTAAGAAGACACGCGGGAGGCGTGGGGCGCCTGGAGGAAGCCGGGTCATCCCTCGGTGGGACTGACAGGCCTGGCCCCTTGCCGGGACGCGTTCTCTGTCCTGCGTGGTGGGGAGTGGTTTTGAAGAAGGTCTGAAGCGCGGAATGCACAGCTTGGGTCCTCCAGGGGCGGAGGGACTCCCCGCATTGTTCAGCCCCCATCCCCGCCTCAGTACCCCCAGGGCTCCTCCCCGCTCTTTGCTGGTTCCCCACCCCTCAGCGCCAGAAGAGGCGAGGCCGGCCCCGCGGCCGAGTCGGTGGGAGCGAGCAACAGGATCCCCAGCCCTGGGCACGCGGGGTCCTGCCACCAGCGCCGACTCGCGGAAACAATGAAAGGTGACGCGTTGGAGGGGAAACTTTGCGACAGGCCCAGGGCTCGTGGGGGGAGCGGAGACCTCAGAGGGTATCCAGGGTTCTTTCCCTTTTGAGGTTTCCCTGGCACCTCTGCTGGGGGTGGCCAGGTCCTGAGAATGTGGGTTCAGTGTCACATTTCTATTGATAGTTTCTTGTGGCCCTAAGGTTGGAAGTCCTGGTCGTGCCAAGTCCTGCAGCTTGCTGGCGGATTTCGGCTGGGCTGGGAAACTCAAGAACAAAAGCTACTTGCCTGCCTCGTCGGGCTCCTCCCTCTCTCCGCGTTCCTCCGCGGCTCTGCCCCCCAGGTCTAAAACTACCTGGGAGGGGAGAGAGCCTCCCCTGCCCGCTCCGGGAGCACCCCGAAGTCCGTCCCGCCTATTGTCTGTCTTGTGTTAAGTCTGAATTAACTTAAAACGATGGCACTTTGAACGCAGAGGTTTGGTAGGACTGGTTCGTGATCATGGTGTGTCCTCTTCTGGCAAGCTGAACGTGCCAAAAAGATATCCTGGAGTTTGGATGAGGAGAACCCCTGCATTTTTTTCGGGGCTAGTTTCTGCCTGTGTTGAATTCTTGCTTTACGATTGTTCTTTGGCAAGGGCCACATCGGGTTTCAGTGACTTGGTAGATTGGATTCCTGTCTTTTCTCCAGGGAGATATTCTGATCGGGAAACTTTTTAGGTTGGGCTTGCATTCTCCGAGTCGTCTATTTCAGCTTTTTCCCTTCGACCTTGTTTCTAGATCCTTTTCTAGTCTTACCGACTGGTAAAATCCAATCACTATTGCTTTGCCTCCCCCTCCCATCTTGACGTGACAGGGCTGTTCAGAAAAGAAAGCCGAGAAACTAGACTGCTTCTTAGAGCTGTGGAATCCACAGGCCATCTTGCGGCTTTCTGCACAACATTTCCTTGTATGTGGATGAAGTAAAAGAGGATTGTGATTCTGCCCACCCCAAACACATTTTTTAAAGTGTAAGCAAAGCAAGACATTTGGAAACTAGCCGTAACCGGGAATGTTTTCAAAAGCTCTGTTACAATAGGAAATGAGTAAGGAGGAAAAGTCTTTTTGTTTTTCCAAGTTGAGCCACAATCAAGAGGGAGAGTTTTAATGAAAACAGTCCTGACAGCAGCAAACGTGGTTTTGCTGCAGTGAAATACCAGCTGGCATAGCCAAGGAACTCAAGTCTCAACTTCCTGTTACTTCAGCTTTTGTGCACATATTGGAAATATTTGTTAAGACGTCCAGGGCCTGGCATTCATTTATTTAAATGAACTGAGAACAGTAAAGTCGCCTTACAGTTTGGTGTTGCTTAACTGAAACCTGCTTTTGTGTCGCTAAATTATTCTGAAAGATCAAGCTTTCTTGTCAAACTAACCAAGCAGATCAAAGGGCAGGCTTCAGAGTTTTTGTTTGTTTGTTCCAAACTCTTTGTTATTACCAACTTACAGTTGGGAATTCACTGTTCATTGAGCAAATTTTCACACTTTCTAGATTAAAAATAAAAAAGGGGGGTTGGTGGAGATAATACCCTTGAGGAAAATGTCTGGCTTTTCAGACACTGGAGAGTTTGTACAAATTGCTTTATTCAGATTTGCTTTAGTCATTCAATTAACTTGACACGTTCTTAAAAGTTAGATTTATTTAATTATCAAAACAATGTGAAACAAACTTTCGGTTTTTTAAGGCCTTTTATTAATAGTTCTTGGGGCTGTCAGGCCGCATGGTGCTTAAGGGGCTGGATACCCACATGGTTGACTATGGTTCGAGTCCGGACCTGGTGACTTTTCCCCTCTCTCTCCCTTTCTCTCTCTTTTGCTGGCCAAATTTAAGAAAATAATAATAATTAATTTAAAATAAATTGTTCTTCACCCAAGGGTTGGCAGGTGACCTGGTTAAAGCACTGGACTCCCACGTGGCTGACAGCAGTTTGAGTCCTGGACCTGTTGGCTTGCTTTCTTACTTTTTCCTCTTTTTCTCTGGTCTAATTAAGAAATAATAACAATAATTTAGTTAAATAAATAATCCTTTAAAAAAGAAAAGTTCTTTATCCACATTTCAATACAGATTTTGAAAGTTTCTCATCTTCTCAACAGTGAAAACAGTTTTTTAAATATGCTGTTTACGAAAACTTAAAAGAAGTTTAATTCACTCTTCAGGGAAAGGAAACTTCAGATACATGGTAGTTACCATTTAGGATTCTTGCAGTGGTTTATATTTTAAAGCTGTTTGGTTAAGCCTTGAGCTAAAGTGAATTTGCAAGGCCATCCACTTCTTTTGTTAGAACTTGCTTTACTTTGTCTTAGAAAAGTTTCTGCCTTTGCTGGAGAAACGCCCTGCGGCAACTTCTGCCCCCTGTAGTCCAAAAGCAAAAATAATGCCACCAGTAAAGTTAGTCAATTCAAAGGATAGTTTTTTTAAATTCCTTAAAAATATGAATATATTAAATGATTTATTTCTATAAGGATCATTCTGTTTTTATTTCCTATCGAGATATACTGGCTCAATGAAGGTTGTGTGATTTTTTTTTTTTTAACCAAAATTATACACTACAGAGGGAAAAAGATATACAGAGCTACAAATGCATAGCGTCAAGATTTTTTTTGTGGTATTTTAAATTAATTTCCCTAATAAAGAGATATTTAACAGCAGTTTGAGTCCTGGACCTGTTGGCTTGCTTTCTTACTTTTTCCTCTTTTTCTCTGGTCTAATTAAGAAATAATAACAATAATTTAGTTAAATAAATAATCCTTTAAAAAAGAAAAGTTCTTTATCCACATTTCAATACAGATTTTGAAAGTTTCTCATCTTCTCAACAGTGAAAACAGTTTTTTAAATATGCTGTTTACGAAAACTTAAAAGAAGTTTAATTCACTCTTCAGGGAAAGGAAACTTCAGATACATGGTAGTTACCATTTAGGATTCTTGCAGTGGTTTATATTTTAAAGCTGTTTGGTTAAGCCTTGAGCTAAAGTGAATTTGCAAGGCCATCCACTTCTTTTGTTAGAACTTGCTTTACTTTGTCTTAGAAAAGTTTCTGCCTTTGCTGGAGAAACGCCCTGCGGCAACTTCTGCCCCCTGTAGTCCAAAAGCAAAAATAATGCCACCAGTAAAGTTAGTCAATTCAAAGGATAGTTTTTTTAAATTCCTTAAAAATATGAATATATTAAATGATTTATTTCTATAAGGATCATTCTGTTTTTATTTCCTATCGAGATATACTGGCTCAATGAAGGTTGTGTGATTTTTTTTTTTTTAACCAAAATTATACACTACAGAGGGAAAAAGATATACAGAGCTACAAATGCATAGCGTCAAGATTTTTTTTGTGGTATTTTAAATTAATTTCCCTAATAAAGAGATATTTAAAATTTGTCTTCAAAAGAGAGGAAGCATTTTAGTCATTCAAAGTTGCCAGTTGTTGTTTTGAAAGGTGCAGTTAATAGCATTTGTTATTAAAATTTTTTTTAAGTTCAAAATGAGGGCTTGAATTTTTATTGATCTCAGTCAGTGCAATTTGAATATTCTCTATGGCTTGTGAATTCTTAAAATTTCTCTTAGGATTAAAGTAGTTAATAGCCAAAAGAATTTTCTTTGGAAGTTGCATTTCCGTTTTCTTTGCCATGTAATAAATTTAAAACTGAACCCTTGTTTATTGATGGAGTATTCTAGGTTCAGATTAAACTGGAAGCTGAAGTTTATGGAAGATTTTATATTTATTCCAAAATTTAAATTTATGGAAAAGTTTTAAGTATTAGGTATCTTTTAGCCTCTAACCAAGGTACCAATAGCAGAATTTTTTTGTTGTTGTTAAAAACTGGAAACTTAGTGACTATATTTAATAAAGAAGTGACTAGTACTTTCCATTAAAAGTTAGGTGGCTTAATGATAATAAATTGAAAATATAAGAAAAGGTAGGCATCTTGGCCAGGCCTGCATGCCAGTGATCCTGGCTGGCTGAGGCCAGAATTGTGGCTTCAGTACCACGCTGGGGGTGGGTACGTGACTTTAATCTCTTTGCTCTAATGGAAGAAGTAAAACTTGAAAAGTAGATGCCTAGTTTTTAATGAGTATAAATAACAGTGAATAAGAAGTGACCCTGGAGATACCAGAAAATTTGAGAATGTGTTTTACCTTTAGAATACTAGTTGCATTCAGCATGGAATTTTCCCTTTATTTGAGTGGGAAAAAAAGTACAAATCCTCCCCTTTCTTTCAAACCTTCAATGGGAATAGAAGGAAGAATAACAATTAAAATGTACATTAGAATAGATTGTTTTTTTCCCAATTTTCAGTGACCTTAAAGAAAAGGAGGTTGTCAGACACATTCCAACTGCCTTTTTCAAATGTGGCAAATTACTCACTTTGGGTGCAGTTTGTTTCCTCGGGTGGATTAGATGAAAGACTTCTGAACGTCATTCAGAAGGAATGTGCAAAGTTAAATTCTAGAGGAATGGCTAAGCGAGGGCGACTCACGATGAACTGAGACTCTACCACGTGCCGCCCGTCCAGTTCCTCTCAGGATTTTACCTGTGCCCTGCTAATTCAGGACGGAAAACACGCTGGCCCTTCACCTTGCTCTCAGGAGTTGAGAAAACCTGATTATCCCAAATGGTCAGAACACATGAGCTTTGCAATAGGTGCCCTGCAGATAAAAGCGAGTGACTGTCGGCCTTTGTCCTTTCCTAGGAGTTGTTGCCGCGTCAGGCAGTGAGACTGAGGATGAGGACAGCATGGACATTCCCTTGGACCTGTCCTCTTCAGCCGGCTCAGGCAAGAGGAGGAGAAGGGGCAACCTGCCCAAGGAGTCGGTTCAGATTCTCCGGGACTGGCTGTATGAGCACCGATACAACGCCTATCCCTCCGAGCAGGAGAAAGCATTACTGTCTCAGCAAACTCACTTGTCGACACTACAGGTAAGGAAAAAGCACAAGGCTTGTGCACGCATTCTTATTTTCTAAGTCATTTTATTGCATTCCTGTGTGTCAAAGTCACTTAGCTCCTCCCCATGCAAAAGGAAAAAAAAGAGAAATAGCCTTTAATTGTAAACTTTATAGTGCTAAAAGCTAATAACTGGTTATTGAGAGAATACAAACACTTGACAGTCATCTGTCAGATAGCATTTCTTTTCATCTAAAAGAGTCCTTTTTTATGCAGCACACATTAAAAAAAAAAAAAGAAAAAGGCTAAGCCTTACTCTATTGCCCAGGAAACTGGTTTGATATTTAAACAAGGACAGACTTCAGTGAGGTAATTCATGTTCTGTCTGTTGACATAGTCATTTGAACTGGGAAAAATCAGTTACTGGGAGGAGTGGCCCTTTTCATACAGGAAAGGTTTTTCTGTAGTTGATTAACCTACATGTTGTGGCAGTAGGTAATAGGTTAAAATGGGGAGAGTTAAAAGGTAAACCTCTTCTTCCCTAAATTTATTTTCAGGTAGTTGAGACAGTATACCTTTTCCTTTTGAAGAGGTTTAAGGATAAGACCCCAAGAAAGGGGAAATTTGTAGTAAAAGAGGAGTTTTATGACAGGAGGCAGCTTTCCTGACTGAGCTCAAATACCTGCAAATAACTTCGGGAGTCTAAATTAGCCTTTTCATGCCTCCCTTAATACCAAGAGAAAGATGAATGGGGCATCCCCTAGAACGTTCTCAGTACCTGCTTGCTGAGTGAATGGAGACAGTGTTAAAGCGAACCGATATGATTTCAGGTCTGTAACTGGTTCATCAACGCCCGTCGCAGGCTCCTCCCTGACATGCTGAGAAAGGATGGCAAAGATCCCAATCAGTTCACAATTTCCCGCCGTGGGGCCAAGATCTCGGAAGCTAACTCTGTGGATTCGGCAGTGGGCATCAAAAACTTCCTGCCGGCTTTAGAGGAGACCCCATTTCATTCCTGTACAGCTGGACCAAACCCAACCCTAGGGAGACCGCTGTCTCCTAAGTCGGCTTCGCCAGGATCGATCTTGGCCCGCCCCTCGGTGATCTGCCATACCACTGTGACTGCATTGAAAGACGTGCCTTTCTCTCTCTGCCAGCCAGTTGGGGTGGGACAAAACACAGACATCCAGCAGATAGCAGCCGGCAACTTTACAGACACCTCTCTCATGTACCCAGAGGACATGTGTAAATCTGGACCAAGTACAAACACGCAGAGTGGTCTTTTCAACACTCCTCCCCCGACTCCACCGGACCTCAACCAAGATTTTAGTGGATTTCAGCTTCTAGTGGATGTTGCACTCAAACGGGCTGCGGAGATGGAGCTTCAGGCGAAACTTACAGCGTAACACACCAAACCCTTCTCAGAAATGTCATGGCTGCCGGGGTGATGGCAAGAGATAAACTGCATTATTTTATATATTTTTTTATTAATATTTGCACATGGGATTGCTAAAATGAAGCTTCCTGTTACTGAGATCTTCAGTGGAATACAGTCATTCCAAGAACTATAAACTCAAAGCTACTGTAGAAACAAAGGGTTTTCTTTTTTCAATGTTTCTTGGTAGAGTATTGATAATGTGAGATGCTTCCCAATATCATGTGATTTTTGTTTTTTTTTCTCCCCTTCCCCTTTTTTGTTTTTTTTTTCTTTCAGACTGTGCAATACTTAGAGAACCTATAGCATCTTCTCATTCCCATGTGGAACAGGATGCCCACATACTGTCTAATTAATAAATTTTCCATTTTTTTTCCAAACAAGTATGAATTTAGTCAACTGATTGATGCCTTTTTTTTCATGACAATAAAGTATTTTCTTTAAAAGTTATTGTAATGCAGAGTATTTTGTTGAGGGAGCAGCTTTGTAAAAATGAGTAGCACTATAGCACCCAATTGAGCAGGAAGTTGTTGGGGGGTAGGGTGGAGTGTGACTTAGGGGGGTGTCACCAGCTCTTTGAAGAACTATAGACAACAACCCATTATGTATAAACAGGATGTGTGATATTTACTCTTGATAGGAGGCAAAGCAGGTCCTTCAGTCTTAATTTAAAACTGTAGGACAAATTGAAATTAAGCATTTCATCAGTGTTGATAGCTAACTTCTGAATCCCTTGGTGATCTGTCCTCTTCTAAAACATCGCCTGGTTGGGCCTGCAGGTGGCGTTGGTGGTTAAGACTCTGGACTCTCACGATCGCCCACAGTTTGAGTCCCAGACCTGGTGACTTGTTTTCTTCCTTTCCCTCTTTATTTCTCTGGTGAGTGTACGTGCCCTATAGCAAATTAAAATAACAATAAATACATTTAAATAAATTTTCCCCCCAGATTTTTGCTATAGGGTGCATGTGCTCACCAGAGAAACAGAGACAGAAAGTGAGAAATTACTCCCTGGGGGGGATGGCCATGCCACTATCCCTTCTCTTCCATTCTCTTGGGATTTGGGTACGCACCCACCAGGGGGTGATTTTTGCCCTGTCAGGCCCAGAACTCGAAACTGTAGTGAGCCATGTGGGAGTCCTGCCATCTGCTGGCCCAATAAATAATTCTTTAAAAAATAATTGCCGTGTTGAAAAGCGAAACCTTGAAGTACCTGGTCAAGGCTTGTTAGTTTGCAGAAGTAAAAAACAACCCAAGCAATCTTAGCATTGTCCTCTTCCTTGTCACCCTTGAAAGTAACCCTTGTTCAGTGGGACAGTTAGGTAAGGCCCTTGCATTCAAATATAGCATTAATTTGTGGAGAATTACTTATTAAAAATCTTAAAACATTTTGTAAAATAATGAGATACACAGTAGGATTTTGTCTATGATGGAATGGTTAGTTGATGAGGGAAACATTTTCCAAGGGCATCGTTTGTGAAAAAATGATGCCATGGACAAGAGTTTGTTGGGATGGACAATTGCTCGTAATGCCCAGATGGCCAGAAGGGAATTGGTAATGTTCCTTTCACTTACATGGTTGACCAGATTTGTCACATGCCACAGAATCATTCTTTGTAGTCGTGCTTAGTATGAGGTTTCTTTGTTGGTATAGTCATGTTCTTTCAGCCCTTCCCCAGCTATGAATTGTCCAAGTTTCAGGGAGCATCACAGCTTCAGTATTGTTTAAAGACTATCGAAAAATTCTTCCAAATTTTACTTTGTCTGATTTTTTTTTTCCCCATCAAGTTTATTTCTTCTATGAAAGAGATAGAGAGACAGGCAGCCTTAACAGGGTCACTATGTGCAATCCCTCCCTCCCTCATCTAACCAGGATAATGGCACATGCTCTCGATATAGGGAGACCTTGGGACTCATCCAGGATCACCTTGTAGCTTCTAACATTACGGAGCACTATGTTAAAACCAAGGCTGTCCAAAAGTTTTTCTCTAGTTTTTGAAACTATACTTTAAAAGGTTTCTACTGTAGAAAGTGCTAAATTCAAAGGTTTTTGGGGGAGGGGCAGCAGGTGGCATGGCAGTTAAGATGCTGGACTTCCACATTGGTGACTGCTGTTCGAGTTCCCAGACCTGGCACCTTGAAAATTATACCAAGTGCGTGTGCATGTGTGCCCAAAATTTCAGGAGGAGAATGAGGAAGGGATTGTGGTGGGGCCATTCTCCCTGGGGACGTTTTCTCCCTCTCTCACCTGAGCGCACGTGCCCTATGGCAAAAACCTTAAATAAAACAAAACCACTTTTTTTTTTTTTTTTTTGGTAAATGAAAACTCAAAATTACAACCAAGAGGTATAAGGAAATTGAGTGAAAGGTGTTCTAGGCTATCCTAGGGTGCAGTGTTGAAGGGATATCAACTCAGGGTCACAGAATGATTTAAAACCAAATGAAATTACTGAAAGTAAATGGAACACAGTAAACATGAATAAAAATGAAATACGAGTGGTTAAGCATTGTTGCTTATTCCAATTATCAGATCAAAAGTCTAAAATTTTTGGTTTAATACAAATAAAGGAGACCAGCAAATGCCAAAAGCCTGACCCTGTAGCTCACTAGGAGAGAAAAGTTGCCCTATGAGTCATTGGAAAGAAAAATGTCAAGGGAGAGTGAAACCCAACACTTAGGCATTGCTTATTTTTATTTTATTTTATTTTTTATAAAGATTATGTCTTCCATAAAAGAAAAAGACAGGTCATCCCCAACATGATTTTCACGTCCTCCACCCCACCCTCAGCCAAGCAGGATCATGGCGCACATGCACACTCCCACACACGTGTACAGAGGCTTTTTGGACACAAACTCCAACCCTTTCTGTGTGACTTGATCATTGTGGAGGACTGCATTACTGCTGCCATGCTGGTGCTGGCCTGCTGATGTTTTCGTTTATTTTCTCCCACTCGAAATTGTTATAAATCCTGATTGGTAGCAGGATCTAACAAATGTCAACCATTATTGAAAAAAAAAGGTAAATAACTTAAAAGCTAAGTGTAAAAGTTATTATCTGGGCCAGCAAGTGGTGTGGTGGTTGGTGGTTAAGGTGCTGGACTCCCATATGACTGACCACAGTTCTAGTCCCAGACCTGGTGTCTTGCTTTCTCACTTTCTCGCTCTTTCTCTCTCTCTCTCTCTCTCTCTCGATGAGTGCTTATGCAAATTTTAAAAAATCATAGTAAATAAAATTAAGTAAGTGGGGGCCTGGGACTAGCAGATGGCTTAATGGTTATGTCCCTGGACTCCCACATAGTCATCTGTGGTTCGAATCTCAGACCAGAGAGCTTGAAACTGACATCAGGCATGTGTGCGTGTATGCCCAAAATCCCAGGAGGACACTGGAGGAGAAGCGATTGCGGTGTGGCCCTCCTCTCAGGGGAGTGATTGATTACTCGCTTTCTCTCTCTCTGTCTTGGTCTCTCTGGCAAGTGCATGCACCCTATAGCAAAAAGTCTCTCAAAAAAATAGTAAGTGGGAGCCAGCAAATGGTGTAGTGGTTATGTCACTGGACTCCCACATGGCTGACCAGTTTGAATCGTGGACCTTGTAGCTTAGAACTCATGCTGGGCGTGTCTGCATGCATGCCCAAGATCCTGAGAATGGAGGAGAAGGGATTGCAGTGTGGGGCATGATTTCTCACTTTCCCTCTCACTGTCTCTCTATGGCAAGCACATGTGCCCCATAGCAAAAAAACTCTTTTAAAAAAAATTAAGTGGAGGGACCAGCAGTTAGCGTAATGGCTATGTCGCTGGACTCCCACCTAGTCGACCATAGTTCGAGTCCTGGACCCAGTGGCTTAAACTCACACCGGGTATGTGTGCATGCGTGCCCAAGATCCCAAGAGGAGAATGGAAGAGAAGGGATTGTGGCATGGCCATCCGCCCTGGGGGGTGACTTCTCGCTTTCTATCTCTCTATCTCTCTGTCTCTGTCTGGCGAGCACATGCGCCCTATAGCAAAAACCTCTCCAAAAAAAGAAAAAAAAAATTTAGTGGGGCCAGCAGGTGAAGTGGTGGTTAGAGGTGCTGGACTCCCACATGGCCAACCGTGGTTCGAGTCCTAGACCTGATGATTTGCTTTCTCACTTGCCCCTCCCCCTGTCTCCGTTGTTCAAACTGGAAAATAATAATAATAAATAAAGTTAAATAAGAAATCATTCTTTAAAATTAATTCTGGGGCCAACAGATGGCATGAAGGTTGAGATACTAGACTCCCACGTGGTCACAACCATGGTTCAAGTCCTGGATCTGGCGGCTTACTTTCTCACTTTCTCTCTGTCACTCTCTGGTCAAATTGAAAAATGATAAAATGATAATAGTAAATAAAATAAAATAAATAATTCTTTAAACACATTAAGTAATTCTTTTTTAAAAAAAGCTAATGTCAAAACCAAATAGAAATTCTTTTATGTTTACATGGCATATTGTTTTTCATTTACTTTTTAAAAAAATTCTATTTATTTTTTAAAGTTTTTTTAAAGAATTATTTTATGTCTAGGACTTGAACCACAGTAGGCCATGTGGGAGTTCAATGCCTTAACCACTGTACCACTTGCCAGCTTCTTCATTTATTGTAACATATTTGTTCCTTTGTGTTTAAAGTTTATCTCAGGGTCGGCAGGTAGCATGGTAGTTGAGGCACTGGACTCCCACATGGCCAACCACAGTTCGAGTCTTGGACCTGGGGCCTTGCTTTCTGACTCTCCCTCTCTCTCTTTCTGGCCAAATTAAAATCTAATAATAATGATAAATTTGCCAGCTTCTTCATTTATTGTAACATATTTGTTCCTTTGTGTTTAAAGTTTATCTCAGGGTCGGCAGGTAGCATGGTAGTTGAGGCACTGGACTCCCACATGGCCAACCACAGTTCGAGTCTTGGACCTGGGGCCTTGCTTTCTGACTCTCCCTCTCTCTCTTTCTGGCCAAATTAAAATCTAATAATAATGATAAATAAATAATTCTTTAAAAAAAATTTTTTTTAAAGTTTATCTCATACGGCATGTAATTGTCTTCAATAATATCTGCCTTTTATTTAAAGTGTTTGTCAATGTACATTTAATGAAATTTGTTGATATATATACACACACATATATATATAACCTGAGAGAGTGGGAGGAAGATAGGAAGATGGAATTATTTTTGACACGGTCCCACCATA